AAAAGTTAACCCAAACATTTATATTTTTTTCCTCAACTTCTTAGTCTAAAAAGACAAAAAGTACACTTATTTAGGACACCCCAAACAACCCCTAATTCAAGCAATAATCCCACTGCCCACTTGCGAGACCCATTTAAAACCGGTATGGACATGGCCCCAAAGAATTTATTAGGGACTAGTGGGTATTGAACTTAAAACGTAAAAGAGCACATCCTAGGTCCCAAGTTTTGCCCACTAGGCAAACCCAGGTTGCAATTGAAGTGAGTTAATATGCGGCCTTCATTGTTGTTGGGCAGAAATGCTTTACTGTTTAATAAACTGCACCAGCGTTCTTCTGTGTTTAAAGTGTTAAGGCTGGAAAAGATACCAATGTGCTCCAAATCGCCAAATGTTCAGATTAAATGAAAGCCCTCAACTCACTCTATCTTTTTAATGAAGGATCTAGGGTAGAAACACACCCCAAGTGGATCAAATCTAAGAGAGAAGGTGAGTAGGGAGAGACAAAAGTCGGACCTAGGGTTTGGAACCAAAAAGATTATGAAAAAGACTGATCAAAACCCGCTGCTGCGTATATAAACTGGATAGGCTCGCTCGAGCGAAGACTTGGTCGCTCGAGCGACCAGACACAGAGAAACTACGCTCGAGCCAAGGAAGCCTTGCTCGAGCCAACAACCCAAAAGCTCGCTCGAGCGAAAGAAAACTCGATCGAGCGAAGAACTCAAACCCTCAGGTCTGTAACCAGACACACGCTCGAGCGAAGGAACTATTGCTCGAGCGAAGAACGAACTAACTCGCTCGAGCGAAGAAAAGCTCGCTCGAGCCAAGAATGCAAAGCTACAGGTCCAAACCAGACGCAAACTCTCGCTCGAGCTACCAAACCCCGGCTCGAGCGAAGAACCAAAAACAACAGCTCGCTCGAGCGACAAAATACTCGCTCGAGCGAAGATCCAAAATTCTGTACAGCAACACTTGATTTCTAAACCTAACCAACCTGAAACAAACCTGCCCAACACATCCTATAATTCCAAATGAGAAAATAAGGGATAACAACAACCATTATAAAATGACAGAATCTACGGAACCTATGTCCGGACACAATAGTCAAATGGGAAAAGACCGGGGTCGCTATAAGTTAGAAGTTTTCTCTTGTTAAGATTTCGAAATTTCAGTGTAGCTTCTACATGGTCTAAAAATTCACTTAGTAGTTTATTGGTGGTAGTTGCTACATAATTAATGTCTGTTGGGCTATATATAATAAATCCATGTGTTTTTTGGGCGATTAATGTAGACCTTTTTTTATTCAATGGCAACTGAGCAGCGAGTAGTAACACAAGTGATGAAGACTAAAGAATTCCTCAACTAAGCAGTGAGTCAACAACCAGGTAATTTCAGTTATCACTCAAGAATTCCTTCACTTATGTTGCTGCCATTGCTTGGAAATGGAGACTAAATTGGGCCCTAGTTTTTTAAAGTTTTTATTTTTTTCATTTATCCTTTTTGATGTTGTGATGCAGAGTGTGATTCTTGGGAAGCTAACATGTTCATGGAGATAGAAGGTGATGGGGGTGCCTGCATATCTTCAACCTGATCTGGAAGCAGATCTCGTCTTGCCTCCGGCACCAGCTAGCAGAGCCGACAACCATGTAATTTCTAATCTCAGTTATCACTGAAGAATAAATTCACTTACATTGCTACAATTCCTTGGAAATGGATATTGTATTTCATGAGTAACTGATCAAAATAATTCTATTGACACAGCTTTTACAGGTTCCAACTAGTATGGTGTTAGAATTGTATGATGCACGATTCGATTCATACAATTTAATATGAGTTTCAACCAAAATTATTTGAATTGTGTTGTTTGAAAATTGGGTGTGCTGTTGAATTGAGAATTGAGTAGTTCATAGGTTTTTGTTTACATAATGTATTGAAATGACGCCTTTTTCAACTACTCTATGATGAAACAAAAATAGGGCCATTGGTTATACTGATATACATGGTGTTATATATATATGTAATATATAATTTATTTATATTGATCCTGTGAAGTATTTG